CTCTACAAGTTATGTCTAACCTCTGACATACTTCATTAACTGTGAAAGATGTGTAACATCATGGCAGCACTTACACAACATGTTCGATGGCCTCAGCTGTGTAAGTTGCTTGGTCTAGTTGTTTTATTCCATCAATGTTAGATTCCCATGATCCAGATGAGAAAAAATTATCAAAATAGTAATGGACCTTCGATGAAGTAGAGAACTGGGAAACAGAAAACTTGAAAAGAAAAAAGTATGGAAAATCAATCATTCCATCAATTATGGAAATAAAGAAATATTTAATATTTAATGTCTGTTCCTCACCTTTGTATCACTTGAGAGAAAAGACTGAACCAGATTTTTCACAAAGGTCTTCATTGTTTGAAAATCTTCGCTATGTACACTCCCTGAACCATCCAACAGAAAAGCAATGTCTGCTTGTAGCGGGCATTCTGCCAAAAAGATGGGTACGAAATGTAGTGTTGAGCAACTTTAAGTGACCTTTCTTTGTTAGGAAGATTCACACTTTGGTCCCATTTGCCATTTGAATCTTTGGTGCACACTTATTTGTGACTTGGGATGTTTACATAACTGGGAGTCAGCTGCCTTCATAAATTATGTTTGTGTTGTAATATGATTTCTGAAACTCTTAAATCTTACCCAAGCTAATATCCTAATAATTAAAAATAATTAAAAAGTCCAAAATTACTACTTAAAGCAATGAAAACTAATCTCAACCTATTAAAGTGACTCTGGGGGGTAAAATGAAACTGAATTGAAAATTCAAAACATAATAAAACTAATTTAAAAAAATATTTAAAAAAGCATAATAACTGTAATAAATGAGCTTCAGACTGTTTAAAATGTATTAGGTTATTGGGTCACAGCGATTAATTGTGTGAATGTGCAGTGACATAAGTATTTATAGATTCTATTATTATTATGAGTTTGTTTTCACAAACTTAGTATCCTGTTACCTTTGACAGAAGGTGGTATGGGACGCTCAAATCTATTGGAACGGTTTATTTGAAAGCACACTCCCCTGTACATGGTGATACTTTTGCAGTCCTTTGGAATAGTTGGACCACATGCCTCAAAAGAGAAAAGATCAAATTATGATGAATCAAGCATGCTGATTATTCTTCCATTCCAGTGTGACACGTCTGCAGTTCACCAACTCACCACAGCATTTTGGGTTCCAGGATCACTTTTCATTGTCAAACCAAGAGACATGTTGATAGCAAAATCTGGCTCTGTATTTAAAGCATTGAATATATATTAAAACACTCATAAAATAAATGTTGGGGTCACTAGAAAATACATTTTATTTAAATGACTGCCACTTTTCGTACCACATTACAAAGGGAAAGAATGCAAAATACACTAATCTAAGTTCACTATTACTGAGTCTGAAAATCAACAAAAAATAAATAACTTTTAGCAAGAATTAATTAAACAAACAATTACATTCAATTAAGTGTTTTGTTATATCATGAAATGGCAAATGTTTAAGGATTTTCTCTAGAAATCCACCTGCAAATTAATCTAATTAATGTCATATTCCAAGATCTCAATACTTGATTGATACTGTCAGAGTTTCAGGATATTGTGTTAAGACATCAAGAAACTATACCTACCTCGAAATTGTATATTTAGGCAGTTTTCACCAGAGATGGTACACCTGTATATTTTCCCCTTTCTGTTTTGTGAATACTGTTCAAGTGGGGCACTGACAAGCAAACTAAGGAGAGAAATCCAGACATTAGATAACATTTTGGTGAGTAAAGTGCAGTGAAAAACCTCCAGTTGTTTTATTACATGATTCAATATTTCTTTGAAAAAAAAAAGCATTAGTTGTGAATGTTATAAGCTGTCAATTATAAACCCATATTAAACATATCTATGCTCTGGCTTACTCTGATTGTCTTTGAACCACCTGGTAGCCAAAACCAGCAGCAGAGTTCCTCAGGGTCTTCCAAGCCACAGGATCAATATTGAAACTAAGTGCAGCATTTAACACTGATAATTAAAGAAAGAAAAACATTATTAAAGCTTATTATGGAATGATAATGTGATTTATTTCAACAGCTCAGCCTTCTGTGTTTCTTTAATTACTAAATTAATTACAGGGGGATCACACTCCTCAGCCTCCCTGGGAAAGTCTATGCCAGGGTGCTGGAAGGAGAGCCCGTCTGTTAGTCGTACCTTGAATACAGGAGGAACAATG